GACCACTGTTACCATTACTGTTACCACCACCACAATCAACCACTACAACCACCATCACCACAATCAACCAACCCAACCACTATTGAAACAAGACAATAAAGCAACTTCACTACAACCACCCCCATCATTATCAGCCACTAACACCACAATCACTCACCACAATCAACCACCATCACCACAATCAACCAGCATTGAAAGCAAGACAAACAAAATAATCAACAAACATTTATAACGGGAAAGAGAGTACAGGTTCTGACGCCTTCAGATACACTCAGTAATTACAAACTCACTCGTCCTCTTAGAGTACAAATACCACGAGTACAGGTACAGTAAGTTACACAATGGTACAGGTACAGTAAGTTACATAATGGTACAGGTACAGTAAGTTACATAATGGTACAGGTACAGTAAGTTAAATAACGGTACAGGTACAGTAAGTTACATAATGGTACAGGTACAGTAAGTTACATAATGGTACAGGTACAAATTTTGGGGGGTGGTTATTCCCAGATAGACAGATAGACAGACAGACAGACAGACAGTGATAAAGAAACCAGCCCTCACCCGTCCAGGTTAGATTAGGTTAGATTAGGTTAGATTAGGTTAGATTAGATTAGCGTTAGATTAGATTAGCGTTAGATTAGACTCAATACATTAATCTTCAAGAAATAAACTAGGGTGTCTAATCTTAAAATAAAAAAAAAAAAAAATAAATAAATAGTTGAAATAAACATAAAAAATAAAATAAAAATAAAATAAATAAATAAATAAATAAAAAATAAAACCCAATTACAAAAAAGTGAAGGCGATAAATTGATAAGAGATGAAGTATTGATAAAAAAAAAGGCAAATCATCGCGTCAAACAGACCAACACACGGTATTTAGGCCACCACTGACCATAACAACCTTCCATAACCTTCTACAACCTGCCACAACTTTCTACAACTTCCCACAACTTTTTTAACCTCCCACAACTTTCTACAACATTCCACAACCTCCCTCAACTTTCTACAACCTCCTAACTTTCTACAACCTCCCTCAACTTTCTACAAGATTCCACAACTTTCCATAACTTCCCATAACCTTCTAATACTTCTCACAACCTGTTACAACCTTCTACAATCTCCCACAACCTTCTACAGCCTGCTATAACTATCATAACCTGCTACAACCACCCACAACCTGCTACAACTTTCCACAACCATTTAAAACCTCCCAAGGAACCAGTGCCTCTCTTCACGGTGTAAGAAAGGGAAGGCCAAACTCGCACGGTGATTGGCTGCGCGTGCCTCCGTTCCCGTTCTCTCTATGGGGCCCTGTGAGGCAAAGTGGGCCAACCACAGAGCGGCGGGAACTGCTCTCATTGGCTCACATTTTCTTTCTCCTGTGACGTAGTAGTGACAGTGGGCGTCCCTCAAATGTTTTTTTTTTTAATTTCTGTAATTTTTTTTTTAATTATTTCAAGATGTTTTTGGATATTCTTTGTCTTGAGTGTATGGTGTATGGTGGAGTGTGTATGGTGGAGTGTATGGTGTATGGTGGAGTGTGTATGGTGGAGTGTATGGTTTATGGTGGAGTGTGTATGGTGGAGTGTATGGTTTATGGTGGAGTGTGTATGGTGGAGTGTGTATGGTGTATGGTGGAGTGTGTATGGTGGAGTGTGTATGGTGGAGTGTATGGTGGAGTGTGTGGTGGAGTGTGTATGGTGGAGTGTGTGGTGTATGGTGGAGTGTGTGTGGTGAGTGTATGGTTTATGGTGGAGGTGTGTATGGTGGAGTGTATGGTTTATGGTGGAGTGTGTATGGTGGAGTGTATGGTTTATGGTGGAGTGTGTATATGGTGGAGTGTATGGTTTATGGTGAGTGTGTATGGTGAGTGTATGGTTTATGGTGGAGTATTGTGTATGGTGGAAGTGTATGGTTTATGGTGGAGTGTGTGTAGTGGAGTGTATGGTTTATGGTGAGTGTGTATGGTGGAGTGTATAGTTTATGGTGAGTTATGGTTAGTGGTGGAGTGTGTATGGTGAAGTGTGGAGTGTATGGTGGAGTGTGTATGGTGTATAGTAGTGGCGTGTATGGTGTTATAGTGGTGGCGTATAGTGGTGGAGTATGGTGTGTGTGTGTGTGTGTGTGTATAGATAAAGTCTGAAGTCGACGTCTTTTTATGTAGAGTTGAAACACACACACACACACACACACACACACACACACACACACACACACACACACACACACACACACACACACACACACACACACACACACACACACACACACACACACACACACACACACACACACACACCTGTATAGCATCTAAAACGGTTTTGTTAGATTGTGTTTGTTACTAAAATCATCAAGGGGAGAAAACGAGCCATTCATTCTCTCTCTCTCTCTCTCTCCCTCTCTGTGTCTCTCTATCTGCCTCTTAAATCTCTCTCTCTCTCTCTCTCTCTCTCTCTCTATGTGTGTGTCTCTCTCTCCCCCCCTCTCTCTCTCTCATATATATGTTTACACACAATAAATTAGTATACATTATAAAAATTGACATACAAACTACAAATAGAAATATACACTACAAAATAAAATATACACACTACAAATTGGAATAAACACGAATAAACACACACAAAAATATATAAATTGACTTCTTAAACACGTGTTATGCAAGGTCTGGTGGTGGTGGTGGTGGTGTGCAGTATATTTTTTCCCTTCACTAATAGACCATCTGGTTAATTCACCTACCCCTCGGCACCACAGGTCTCTGTTAATGGTTAATAATTTTGTTTCACATCAGGTAGCCAAGGCACTGTTTGAGTCCTTCCCCCCTTTCTTTTCCTTCTTCCTTCCCTCCCTTTCCTTCCTCTCCTTCCCTTTTCTTCTCCTCCCTTTCCTTCCCTTCCGTTTCTTCCCTCCCTCTCCTTTTCTTCCCTCCTTTTCTTCCTCTCCCTTTCCTTTCCTTCCCCAGGTGTAAGCAGGTAAACAAAGCCTTGGTTGGTTTGGATTGAACCCTCGTCAGTTAATACTGAATCCCCACCACAATCTTTATCACCACCACAACCCCCATCACCACCACAACCCAGCATCACCACCATAACCCTCCATCACCATCACAACCCTGAATCACCAACACAACACCTCCATCACCACCACCACAACCCTCATCAACACCGCATCCTGCATCACCACCACAACCTTCCATCACCACCACAACACCTCATCACCACCGCAACCCTCCATCACCACCACAACCCCATCACCACAACCCTCACCACCAGCAGAACCTCATCACCACCACAATCCTCATCAACACCAGAACCTCCATCACTACCACAACCCTCATCACGACCTCAACCTGCATCACCACCACCACAACCCTCATCACCACCACCACAACCCTCATCCACCACCACAACCTCCATTACCACCACAACCCTAATCACCACCACCACAACCCCCATTACCACAACACCTCATCACCACAACCCTCCACCACCACAACCTGCATCACCACGACCACAACCTGCATCACCACCACCACAATCCTCATCATCACCACAACCCCCATCACCACCACAACCCTCCATCACCACCACAACCCTCCATCACCACCACAACCCTCCATCACCACCACAACCCTCCATCGCCACCACAACCCTCATCACCACCACAACAGTTCATCACCACCACAACCCTCCATCACCACCACAACCCTCCATCACCACCACAACACCTCATCACCAACAAGCCCCATCACCACCACAACCCTCCATCACCACCACAACCCTCATCACCACCACAACAGCTCATCACCACCACAACCCTCATCACCACCACAACCCTCCATCACCACCACAACACCTCATCACCAACACAACCCCCATCACCACCACAACCCTCATCACCACCACCACAACCCCCATTACCACAACACCTCATCACCACAACCTCCACCACCACAACCTGCATCACCACGACCACAACCTGCATCACCACCACCACAATCCTCATCACCACCACAACCCTCATCACCACCACCCTCCATTACCCCACAACCCTCCATCACCACCACAACCCTCCATCACCACCACAACCCTCCACCACCACAACACCTCATGACCACCACAACCCTCATCACCACCACCACAACCCCCATCAACACCACAACCCTCCATCACCACCAACACAATCCCCATCACCACCACTTCCCTCCATCACCACCACAACCCTGATCTTACCAAAGGAAATGAATCTAGACAGGTTGATAACAGGTCTCAGGTAAGTTCAATTTACCAGAGACTCAAATATACACACCTGGCCCCTGTGTTACCTGACCTAGAGGGGAAGTGTCTCAAATGTGTTCAACTGTATCCTCGTATGTGTCATGTGTGTGTAATATTCTAACACACACACACACACACACACACACACACACACACACTACAGGTTACCTTATATGACGCCAAACATACACACGTGACCAAAATAGGGAAATAGAGAGTTACCTTCGGCCCTCCCTCCCTTACTTACTTCCTCCTTCCTCCCTCCCTCCCTCCCTCTCTTCCTACTCACCCTCTCCCTCTTTCCTCCCTCACTCACTTTGTACACCACCTACATCTTCTCCCTCTTCTCCCCCAACACTACCTGGCCAAAGAGATTAAAAAAAAACGTAACTACAAAATCATTAAGAAAAGGTAATCTACTTTTGTTTTCTCCTACCTGAAGTCTTTTGTTCCAGCGTGGAGTAGAGCTAAAAATAACCCCCCCCCCCCATTGTCATCTCTATACTCCAGCCTGACACAACAACAGGGACTCACTCATCTATAACACAATCTACAACAATCACAACCATTCACAACAACCTATTCTATTTATAACTTAACATGAACACTACAACTACAAGAATTAAAAAACAACAATTAATAATAAACACGATACAATAGGTACTTTAGTCAAAACAATTTATTCAAGTGTAAAAAAAATAAAATAAATTTACTTACATTCCAGATGAAGAATGAACCGAATCCCTGTGTTCTGTGGACCCCCAATTGAGTATTTCCAGTTGTGAAGGAAATACCAAAGGAGGAATAAGAGTTGGTGGATTTATTAACGCTGATATGATAATATAATCAATCCGTAGAGATCCTATACGAACGGCGTCTCACTCACAACAAGACCCGCGTGGACTCCGGATGAGACACACAGACAGACTACCAACGTGGGTATTATTGTTGTTATTATTGTACTCTCTTACTATTCCACTGTTTCTTGAGTCTTGTGTATTTATTTTCTTCCAGGACGCAGTAAGATTCTCAAACACCAACACTAAACACAGTCTTGTTCAACTTTTTTTTTTTTTTACGTAGTACGATCGACCTTGGGAGATAATATATATAAAAAAAACCCACCACAAAGACACTTTTCCTTTACACGTTGTTAATACTGCGATTAATAAACAAACCACACCACAAACACTTAGTTTATTGTATTAACTTGACCACCAGAACACGCAGCCACTGACTGATACACATGAACTGACTACTATACCACAGTTTACCACCACAACAAGTCAGTTCAGTTTACAGGGAGGGAAGAGAAGAGGGCGCTGGTGGCCACACATACACTACCACTATCACCTTGGAATCAATACCAGCCAGAGGGTTCTTGCCTTACACTGACAACACCCTGCTGGAGAGGAGGTCGTGGGGTGATGTGGTTGGTAACTGTCATGAGGACTTAAAATGATTTGGATTGTGGTGTGTGGGTGGGTGAGGGGGTGAGGGGGGGGGGTTGTGGTGAGGAGTAGGAGTAGGAGAAAGAAGTAGGTACTAAATGCAGTGAGAGCTTGATCATACGACAGAGTGGGTCTCAGTTGTGGCTGCTGTTAGGGTAAGGAGGCGAGTGGTGGTGGTAGAGTAGTGGTGAGTGGGCAACCCTCCCGCCCGCAACGCCTCAGCCAATCAGAGCACAGCCCGCCAACCCCCACCGACCGCATGGCGTACTGGCGGGAGGGAAGGTGAGGAGGTGGGAGATGAGGAGGGGGGTGGGGGGCAGGGTGCGGCGTGGGGAGGGGAAGGGAGGGGGGAGAAAACAGGACAGTTGCGTGGATGGTCTGGTATGGATGGTGTTACCCAGGTGTATGGTGAGGGAATTGTGGTAGACGGAATTGTGATAATGGTGGTAGTAGTACTGATGGTTATGGTGATGTTAGTTGTGATTGTGGTAGTTGTGGTGGAAGGATCCAATGGTATGAGAACAAGGAAGAAGGAAAAGTTTGAATGGTAGTTACTATGGTGTGTGTGGTTACTATGGTATGATGGCGGTAGTTACTACGGTGTGTGTGGTGGTAGTTTTTATGGTGTGTGATGGTGGTAGTTACTATGGTGTGTGTGTGTGTGTGGTGGTGATTGGATAAGTGTGGTGGTGATGGTGGTAGTTACTATGGTGTGTGATGGTGGTAGTTACTATGGTGTGTATGGTGGTAGTTACTATGGCGTGTGATGGTGGTAGTTACTATGGTGTTTATGGTGGTGGTTGGATAAATGTGGTGGTGATAGTGGTTGTACAGGACTAGAGGTGATGAATATAGTACTTTCTTTCTTGAAATGTTAATACAACCTAACCTAACCAAACCTAAACTAAACTACAGTAACCTAACCTAATCTAACATAATCAAACCAAACCAAAGCTAATCTAAAATAACCTAACCTAACCTAACCTAACCTAACCAAACCTAACCTAACCTAACCTAACCAAATTTAACCTAACCAAACCTAACAAAACCTAACCTAACCTAACTTTAGAAGCATAATCAATAAATCCATCAAAGGCAGACTATCAGTATACCTACACATAGATACATAGTTAAACCAATATAAACACGTAAGACAATTCCACATAATAAATTTCTATTAATATAAAAAAAAAACATAAACCAAGGGAACTATAAATACCCAAACACATAAAAAACGAGAAACCTTCCAAGTTAATCTTATTTCATTTGTCTTAAAAATTACATAACATCAGTAGGACAAGTTGCTAATTACACAGATTAACTTATAACACCAACACAAAGTTTATTCTCTTGATGTCTTGAAGAATATTTACCTAAGTTTGTTCTAAAATATTCTTATGGTTAGTTAGTACATGTGACTAGTTTCAACTTATATATGACTATTTCACCTTACATATACGTTATTCACATTATATAAGTAATTTCCATTATATACAATATTTCAGTTATATCCGTTATTTCCGTTATATGCAACCTTTCTGTTATATACGTTATTTCAGTTATATCCGTTATTTCCGTTATATCTGTTATTTCCGTTATATTCGTTATTTCCGTTATATACGCATCCCCCCTTGCCACACTAACACACCTCCCTCACCCCTACCTTAACCTTCATTACTCCTATCCAAACCTCTCTCACTCCTACCCTAACCTCTCTCACTCTTACCCAAACCTCTCTCACTCCTACCCTAACCTCTCTCACTCCTACCCAAGCCTCCCTCACTCCTACCCTAACCTCTCTCACTCCTACAATCACCTCTCTCACTCCTACCCTAACCTCTCACTCCTACCAAAACCTCTCTCACTCCTACCCAAACCTCTCTCACTCCTACCTAAACCTCTCTCACTCCTACCCAAGCCACTCTCCACCCTACCCCAAACCTCTCTCACTCCTCTCTCTCCTCCTACTAACCTCTTCCACCTAACCTCTCACCCTACCCAAGCCTCTTTCACCAAACCCACCCAAACCTCTCTCACTCCTACCCAAGCCTCTCTCTCTCACTCCCACCCTAACCTCTCTCCCTCCCAAGCCTCTCACTCCTACCCAAGCCCTCTCATTCCTACCCAAACCTCTCACTCCTACCCAAGCCTCTCTCACCTACCCTAACCTCTCCTCCTACCAAAACCTCTCCTCCCTACCCAAACCTCCCTCACTCCTACCATCACCTCTCTCCTCCCACCCAAACATCTCTCACTCCTACCCTAACCTCTCACTCCTACCCAAACATCTCTCCTCCCTACCCAAACCTCTCTCACTCCTACCCAAGCCTCTCTCCTCCCTAACCTCTCACCCTACCAAAACCCTCACAATCACCTCTCTCCTCCTACCCTAACCTCTACCCTCCCTAACCTCTCTCATTCCTCCATCACCTCTCACTCCTACCCAAGCCTCCCCTAACTCCTAACCCAAACCACAAGCACCCTAGCATACAATCACCTACCCTAACTTAACCTCCCTCACCCTAACCATCCTATCCTCCCCACACCTATCCCTCCCTCATCCCTATCCTCCCTCACACCTAACCTCCTATCCCTCCCTCACACCTAACCTTCCTATCCCTCCCTCACACCTAACCTTCCTATCCTCCTCACACCTAACCTTCCTATCCTCCCTCACACCTAACCACAAACACATAACACCTCCCTCCCCCAACACCTCCCCTCCCCAACACCTCCCTCCCCAACACTCCTCCCCAACACCTCCCCCTCCCCCAACACCTCCTCCCCACCCAAGTCGTGTATGGTACAAGTTTTCGATTTGTTGAGACGCGTAATGAACGATACGCATTGAGTTGTTACGTTTGTCAACTTTTAAAGGGTAAAATTGCCTTAGTGCATTCAAAGGCAATTGAAGCTATGGTAAGGAGAAACACACGCACGATCTGGACATTGTGTGCGTGTGTGTGTGTGTGTGTGTGTGTGTGTGTGTGTGTGTGTGTGTGTGTGTGTGTGTGTGTGTGTGTGTGTGTGTGTGTGTGTGTGTGTGTGTGTGTGTGTGTGTGTGTGTGTGTGTGTGTGTGTGTGTGTGTGTGTGTGTGTGTGTGTGTGTGTGTGTGTGTGTGTGTGTGTGTGTGTGTGTGTGTGTGTGTGTGTGTGTGTGTGTGTGTGTGTGTGTGTGTGTGTGTGTGTGTGTGTGTGTGTGTGTGTGTGTGTGTGTGTGTGTGTGTGTGTGTGTGTGTGTGTGTGTGTGTGTGTGTGTGTGTGTGTGTGTGTGTGTGTGTGTGTGTGTGTGTGTGTGTGTGTGTGTGTGTGTGTGTGTGTGTGTGTTTGTGTGTGTGTGTGTGTGTGTGTGTGTGTGTGTGTGTGTGTGTGTGTGTGTGTGTGTGTGTGTGTGTGTGTGTGTGTGTGTGTGTGTGCTGTGTGTGTGTGTGTGTGTGTGTGTGTGTGTGTGTGTGTTGGGGGATAATGGTGTGTTTTTTGTTTGTTTGTGTGTTTGATTAGGTTATTTGTTCAAGTTACCTTAAGGGTGAAGTCAGATGGTGAGAGAGAGAGAAGAGAGAGAGAGAGAGAGAGAGAGAGAGAGAGAGAGAGAGAGAGAGAGAGCTAAACGATACTCCTACTCAGAAAATCACTCACACACACACACACACACACACACACACGGACTAACACTCCTCACGCAAATCTATACACCAGTATCATGTATAGATATAGTCATTACCTGTATTACGGTGCCCAGGTGTCAGCAGGTGAGTCGTTCGGTTATTAGTGTCACTGTTCACTTGTTGCATGACGCCCTCACTCACCTGTCATGACGTCAGACCCTTGCATGTCGGCCCCTCCCCCTCTGTCATGACGTCAGACCTTCTACCTGTTGATAGTGCATGACGCCCTCACTCACCTGTCATGACACCACACCCTTGCAAGATGGCCCCTCCTCCTCACCTGTCATGACGTCAGAACTTCTACCTGTTGATAGTGCATGACGGCCCCACTCACCTGTCATGACGTCAGACCCTTGCATGATGGCCCCTCCTCCTCACCTGTCATGACGTCAGACCCTTGCATGACAGCCCCTCACTTGTCATGACGTCACAAATACCGGTTCAAAACGCATAACGTAATTACCTTCCGTCATGCATTACTACCGTCATGTATGTATGTATGTATGTATTTACGTGCGTATGCGTATGTATGTATGTATATACTTACGTGTGTATGCATAAATATATGTATGCATGTATGTATGTGTGTGTACGTATGTATGTACACCAGCATCTACACACACATGCATGCCTTACACTCGTAAATCATAAACTGATAGAACAATTTTAATGAAATTTTGCCAAGAGTCACTGGGTGGATGAGGGCATGAGGAGAGGAGGTGAGGAGAGGGGGTGAGGAGAGAGGGTGAGGAGAGGGGGTGAGGAGGTGAGAGGAGAGAGGTTGAGGAGGGTGAGGAGAGAGAGGGTGAGGAGAGAGGTGTGAGGAGAGGTTGAGAGGGGGGTGGGGAGGAGGGTGGGGAGAGAGGTTGAGGAGAGTTGAGGGGGTGTGAGGGAAGGAGGAGGGGGTGTGAGGGATGGGGTGGGGAGAGAGGGGGTGAGGAGAGGGATGGGGTGATGTGGGGATGAGGGGATGGGAGAGGGATGGGGTGATGTGGGGATGAGGGGATGGTGAGGGGGTGAGGGGAGATGAGGGGACGGTGAGGGGTCAAGGTCACGATTATGAAGTCAAAGTCACAGATAACAAGATACAAGGCTTCTAGTACAGACCGACCAGAACTAGCGCACTCCTGCCATGACGACCGCACGCCTTCCATGACTAGTGCACGCCTACCATGACTAGCGCACGCCTACCATAACTAGCGCACGCCTACCATGACTAGCGCACGCCTACCATGACTAGCGCACGCCTACCATGACTAGCGCACAAGAAGGATTACAACTAAAATTACACGTCCCTGTATTTAATGTCTCGCGATTACGTTAACGGTTTGAAATGACAATGTATTCTTATTGGCTGGCGGGCGGGGGAGGGGGCGTGGCTCCGGGCGGGGCGGGAGGCGGCCGGTGTTGTTCTAGTGGCAGGAGCCGTGTCGTCCTGTGATTGGTAGAGCGCGTGGCTGCCAAACAACAACAACTAGACCCTCCAATGATTTCA